GACAGGAGATGCTCTACACTGTGCTCACACACCCCCCTCCCCGTGCTTTATTGCAGTCCAGCTGAAGGACAGCTACGAATCCAGCACCTTCTTCTTCTTGGTGTTTGACCTGTAAGTACCATCTCCCCAAGCCTGTTCCCACTCTATAGACAGCCAACACTCGACCCAGCTTCTTACAGCCCAAACAGGGCAAAGAGGAGGGACAAGCAGCTCTTGCTTAGGGTAGAAATGAGCCTCCGTTGCTGCAAGCCAGCTTGTGCAGCCTCGCTCCCAGCAGTTTCCCTCCTGTCAGCGGCTCAGCGCTGCTCGGGTTTCCCTGTAACCTTTGGTGGGAGCTGTTGTGCATCCCTGCAGGTTATTTATATGCTCAGTGGCACCAGGGTGTATGTGACACCACAACTCCTGGTGCCAGGGCAGCGGGATGGACATCAGCGGATGACGGCACTGGGAGAGCCCCATCCCTGTCCCATCCCAAACCTGCCCTCTCCAGGGACAACCTTTCCCCCTTCTGCCTGATGTTTTGCAGCAATATAAAGGCACTTTTACCCCTTTTTTATTAAGGAGCCAGCATGTCATGTTGTGCAATGGGTGTCCTGGGCTGCTAAGGGGCACTGACCCTCCCCAGGGGCCTGGAGCCAGTTTTCCATTGCAGCTCAGCCACTGCCTCCCTTTTCCCTCCCTCATGCAGGATGAGGAGAGGGGAGCTCTTCGACTACCTCACTGAGAAAGTCACCTTGAGCGAGAAGGAGACGAGGTAAGGCCAGATGCTGAAAATCACATTGCGAAAGCAGAGTGTGGGTTCAAGGGACCTGTGGGCAAAACAGCTCCCCTGTGCTCAGACACGGGAGCTGAGCTGTGTGATCCCTATTCCCACCTGTGGGAGCACGGTGCTGGTGGGCACTCGGTCTAGGAGAGATGCTGTCACCCATCCCCAGGAAGATCATGCGTGCGCTGCTGGAGGTGATAAGGTTCCTCCACTCCGTCAACATCGTCCACCGGGACCTGAAGCCCGAGAACATCCTCCTGGATGACAACATGAACATTAAGCTGACGGACTTCGGCTTCTCCTGCCAGCTGCAGGAGAATGAGAAGCTCAAAGGTAGGAGGATGGTGAGGTGGGGGCAGTGCCATGGCCGTGCCCATGGTGCTGCAGTGCCCACAAGTCCCAGAATCATAGAATCAACTAGATTGGAAAAGACCTTTAAGATCATCAAATCCAACGTTTACCCCAGCACTGCCAAGGCCACCACTAAGTCAGTGTGGTCTCTCCAGCCGCACTATCCCCTTGGAGCCAGTCTTGCTGCCATGGGTGCAGATTGGTGCCTCTTGGCTTAGGGTGCCCTCCTGCTCACACACAAACATGGCTCTGCCTGCACGGCCTCCACACTCCTTGCCATGAAGAGGTTGCTGCCCGTTAGGAAAACCATCCTGTTCTTTCCATGTCTTTTCCCCTCCAGTTAATCCTCATCACCCCATCCATTTACTGCCCAACATTAGGGTTTTTTCTCTCAACTCCCACCCTGCATAGAGCCACAATGGGCATCCTCTCCCCCTGGCATCCCCATTGCTCTCTTCACTCACTTTCTACCTGCTATAATGCACCAAGAAAGGTCACCAGTGACATGCACATGAGCCCCATCACTGGATGGGGATGTGGGATCCAGCCCCCTGAGCAGCCCAGGAGGAGCACCCATCCTGGATGGGGATGGCACAATCCCTCCTGGGTGGCTCAGGGGGATGCTCTGCCCTGTCCTGGCAGAGATCTGCGGCACTCCTGGCTACCTGGCCCCCGAGATCCTGCAGTGCTCCATGGACGACGAGCACCAAGGCTACGGGAAGGAGGTGGATATGTGAGTGAGACACCAGCCTCCCCACCTCACCCCTTGGGCTGCCCCCAGACCACACGTTGAAGGCACAGTGAGAGTGGGCAGACGGGCTCCCATTGAGTGTCTGAAGGAGTTAAATGAGGCACCAAAAGACAACCTGAGGGGTGGCCAGGGGCTGTGCTGGTGACCAGGGGGCTCTGGGGGTCAGAGCTGGGGGAGAAGCAGCTGGGGTCAAGCCTGTCCCCCTGCTTTACCCCATCAGGGAGCGGGGAAAGCAGCAGTTTGTGTTCATAATGATCAACTCAGGCTGGGCCCTGAGACATGGGGCTTTCTAAATACCCCCCGTAGTAAGACCTGAACACAAGGCAGCCCCTGAGAGAGCAGCCAGAGCCCTGCAGGGCCTTTGCCACCATCTCTGGTGGCTTCAGGCTCAGGTCTGCAGGTGTCAGAACTGTAACCAACCACTTGAAACATTTCAGTCCCTTTTCAGCTTAAATACCTCCATTGACTCCTATAGCAGGACACTTAACACACCACTGCCTGAGCTGAGACGGCCCTAGAGCATCCAGCCTTGCTGTACCACAGTGTCCCACTATATCCCACCCTCCTGCATCCTCTCCCTCCCCTATAAAACACAAGGAATACAAATACCTCCAACCCCCAGCTTCCTCCTGCAGCATCCAGGGAACAGCTCCACATCAGCTCAACTCAGGAACCCCAAACCCCTCCCCAGCAGTGGGGCAGCCCCTGCTCCTTATGACCCATCAGGGCTGATGAGCCTCAGCAGCTCATCACGCACCAGGCAGGGCAGGCTCTTCCTGGTCTACCGGGGAGGCAAAGCCAAGTGTAGCCCAGTTGAGGGGAGCCCCTGAGCCACCCTTGGGGTGCGGATGCTGCTGGGTGCCCCACGGGTGTCACCTGGGACTGGAGGGTCCGTGTGGGTTACGTGCAGGTGGAGCACCGGGGTGATCATGTACACCTTGCTGGCCGGCTCGCCTCCCTTCTGGCACCGCAAGCAGATGCTGATGCTGCGGATGATCATGAATGGAGACTACCAATTTGGCTCCCCGGAGTGGGACGACCGCTCGGACACTGTCAAGGACCTGGTAGGTGCTTGGGGACGGGAAAACCTTGGTGTGGGGAAGAGCTTGGTGGTGGGACAGCTCAGACTGAGCCGCTGTCCTGCTGCAGATCTCCCGGTTCCTGGTGGTGGACCCGCGGCAGCGGTACACGGCGGATGAGGCGCTTGCACATCCCTTCTTCCAGCAGTACGACACGGAGGAGGTCCGGCACTTCAGCCCCTTCCGCAAATTCAAGGTGAGGCTGGGAATGGAGTGTCCCAGCACCCCGAGTCCCGGAGGCAAGCGGTGGGATGGGTTTCCCGGCTGAGCTGGGGGAGTCAGGCGGGCTGATGGACCTGCGCTTTGGCAGGATGCGCTGGTCTGGGAGGAGATGCTTCTCCAAGCACTGTTGTGCTTACTTTGTGGTACTTCCTAGGGGCTTTTTCACAGAAGGGAATTAAATAAGAGAAGTGAAAAACCTGCCTCCTGCCCCCCTAGGATTCTATGAAGAAATAAAAAGATCACTTTTAAGGGGGAATTGATGAGGCTGACATCACACTGGTGCATCAAAAGCTGATAAAAGGAGGAATCTTTTCCCTTCCCTACAGCCAGTCATTAGGGCAGTGCTAAGGCACCGAGAAGGGCATTAGGGGACACATTTAGGGCTGACCTGTAGTTTTGCCATTAAGATCACACTTGGAAAAAGCTCACTGGGACTAAATACCTGCACCAGGAGCCAGGCTCCCTCCTGACTCCTCCGCATGGATAGCAGCAACATGGAATGCGTTGGGGCCAATCTGGTCCTGCCGTAGGAGTGGCCTTGAACTCCAGCGTGTTCCCGCTGTGCTGCAGGTGATCTGCCTGACCGTCCTGGCATCAGTCCGCATCTACTACCAGTACCGGCTGCTCAAGTCGGTCACCAGGGAGCTGGTGGTGCGGGACCCGTACGCCCTGAAGCCCGTCCGCAAGCTGATCGACGCCTGCGCCTTCAGGACCTACCGGCACTGGGTGAAGAAGGGGGAGGCACAGAACAGAGCTGCCCTCTTTGAGAACACCTGCAAGGCCATTCTGCTGACCCTGGCAGCCGAGGAGGGGCTGTTCTGATCACACTGTGTGAGCCACGAGCCTGCTCACAGGGAATAAAATCTTTGAAAGCCAAATGGTGATTGCTTTTGCTTTTGTTTCTTTCGTTGGCTTCAAGTCAGGTGCAAATTCAAATGCAGGAGATGATGCTGTGATTTGACCCTGGGGTGTGTGTCCCTCCAGGGATGGGTTTGGAGGAGCTGCTCTAACAGAGCTGTAACCAGCCGCAGCTACCACTACGGAGGGATACG